GCATAGGGTCACTATGAGTCGCAAACGACTCGATGGCACATAACAACAACAACAACAATGCCCTTCTTTATCTTTTATGGTGATTTTCATTCTGAAAAGTCTGTTTTATCAGAGATTAGTATTACCCCTCTGGCTTTTTTGTGGATGTCATTTGTTTGGTATATTTTTCCCTGCAGCCTTTGATTTTGAGTCTATCTTTCTCTTTATGTATTAAATGTGTCTGTTGTAGACATTATATTTATGGGCCTTAAAAAAAATCCATTCTGCTACTCTTTTCTTCTTAATTGGAGCATTTAGTCCATTCACACTAAGTATGATTATTGAAAGGTTAGTTTTTATTATTGCCACTTTGCTGTTTCTTTTTGTTGTTGTTATTTTGTTTTGTTATTTCTTCTTACTATGGTCCATCCACTTTCCTTTGCTGTCTCTGTGTATGGACTTCCCTTAAAATTCTTGTAGATTTGGTCTTATTTTCACAAATTCCTTAAGTTCTTTCTTTTCTACAAAGGATGTCATTTCTCCTTGATATTTGATGGAGAGCTTTGCTGAGTACAGGATCATTAGTTGGCAATTGTTTTTTTCAACTTTGTGTGTATGCCATCCCATTGTCTTCTTGCTTATCTGCCTCCTTGACTCTAGCGTATTCAGGAAGTCCTTATTATCTTCTGCTTCTTTTGGAAAATGCTTAATTATTTTTTCTTTACAGTGTTTGAAGCTGCCTACTGCTTTCTTGTCATTTTGGGAATTTTTTTCTTGATACGTTTTAGATCATTTCTGTTTTGTCTGTGAATGTTATTAGTGAGTTTTGTCATTATAATGTTACTAATTACTTTCCAAGTTAAAATGTTCAGTGTGTGGGTTGAGCTATTCACTCTGCTGTAAGTCTTTTCTGGGAAAATTTGCCTTTCCCAAAGTCTTTGATGTTCTCTCTGTTCTGCATGAAAGTCCTGTAGGAATCTCACCTTGATATAGTCCCCTGACACCAACTCTACAGGCCTCCTTCATGCATCAAGTGGCTGGGTGGTGTGAGACCAGGTGCTCTACTCAAGAAGTTCCTCATGCACCCTTTTTCATGGAGCTTAATGTCTTCCTTTGTCTTTGGAGTGGCATAAGATTAGAGATCAAGGCTCCCTACAAGCAATGGAGAGGTCTCACTCTCAGTACCAACCCTCACCTTCCTCACCTTTTCTCTTGCAGCTTAGTGTCTTCCTTTGTCTCTGCTGTGGCAGGAGATCAGGACTACCAGCTTAGGCAGCTTGTATGCAGAGGCTCTCAAGTCAGCGTCTCTCACAGAAAGCTAAAAAAATTCTTACCTCTGCTTGAAGTTCTGTATACTGAAGTATTTTGTCCTGTTTGGCCCCTGAGATGGACCCACAGCCATGGAAGCATGGATCCCCAGATAGGGGGACCTATAGCCTCATCTCTCCACAAGCAATGGAGAGTGTTCACTCTTGGCACAGAGTCTCACCTTCCTCTCTCAGGTTTCTGATGTTGTACATTTTTGGAGATGTGACTACACATCTTTCTTCCACAGAGCAGCTGTGGATTCCAACCACTAACCTTAATATAGAAGCCTGATATGATACATACAATGCCACCAGGGGTCCTATTTGTGACAGTGCTTTTTAGTATGTCAAGTATCATACAACTGCTTGGCAATTTTCATTGTTACTCAACTGTCCTAGAATTTGCTACATCATTAGTGCCTTTGATTTTATTTAAGTCCAAGTTTATGTGAAGAGAGTTCTAATGGCCTCTTAGTGAGGAGTTGCATTCTCAAGCAAATAGCAAATGGTTTGGATACATCAGCTGCTATGGAGGACAAATATGGGAAATTTTCTCTTGTGCAGTTTTCAGCCTCCGGAAACCCACTGAAGGGTCAGCTATAGGAGTGAGCTGGGACTCAACAGCAATGAGTGAGCATATGAGTGAGGTTTGTGTGAGTGTGTCATCAGGAGATTGCTGTCTGCAGTGCCCATCCTCCACCACCACAGCCCCGGCCTCCTGGCTAACACTCTGGCCCCTCCTCTTGCAGGCAGGACCATCATTATGTCTACACACCACATGGACGAGGCAGACCTCCTCGGGGATCGCATAGCCATCATTTCCCAGGGGAAACTCTACTGCTCAGGCACCCCACTCTTCCTGAAGAACTGCTTTGGCACGGGCTTCTACCTCACCTTGGTGCGCAAGATGAAAAACATCCAGAGCCAGACAACGAACTGTGAGGTACATGTCTGTCCTGGAAAGAGCTCACCTGGGCCCAGATGGAACTTGGGAATTATTCTAAATGCTATTTCGAGCATGTTGGCCCAAATCAGACTCCTTGTTAGAATGGACTCCTTAGCAGGAGATTTTGGTAAATGACATTCTGAACCTTCTCATAAAAGTGCTTAGCCTAATAACATGAAAGAACAATTCCATTTTTCATTTGAGTGAGGGTTTGCAAATCTTAATTTGTTTTTTTTTATTTTTTCGTACAGCCATTCATTGCCATTTTGTTTTATAATATTAATTGCCCTTGGCCAATGTAATTAATTCATTACAATGTTTAATCAACCCCTTGATATAACTAATCTGAAATGGCCTGAGATGACTGCACTTTAGTAGAACAAATATAGTCAAAATGCTCAGTCAATAACCAAAATGTTGGAGGGTTGAGTCTACCCGAGACGTGCTTGAGAAGAAAGGTCTGGTGAAAACTCAGCCACTGAAGACCCTCAGGAGCACGCGTCGACTCTGACACACTGAGGACGTCGTGAGTTAGAACAGATTCACGGCAACTGGTTACCCCACATGACATGCTCAGTTTGATACAACACAGATTCAAGTGAAGAAGCTTCTCTTCTGAGAAACTGTGATCTTTTATGACAAGTACTTGTTTAGTCTTCCTTATCCCCTCCTCCATCCCAACAATTGTTATTGTTATTTACTATAGAGTCAGAACCGACCACTAGCTGACCCTCCAGTGGATTGTCAGAGCCAGTTAATCACACAGGAGGAGATTGTCCATCCTTCTCCCAGGGTCCCAACAATTATATTCCCTAAATAAAACTGAAGGAACTCTGGTGACATAGTCCATAGGGAGCCCACATCTCTCTGATGATTTAAACTGACTCCACAGAAGAAAGATGAGGAATCTCCTTCCCTGTGATTTACAGTCTTCAAAACTTCCTGAAGGGTTAAAAATGAGTCATTTCCAGCTCAAGGGCAGTAAATGAGTGAAATAAAACTGAGTTTCATTAGCAAAGAAAGTTAAGACCTTGTTATGAACTACAATCGAAAATGATAAAGATCTTTTTTAAAAAACACACACAAAAACCCATAACCCAGCTATCAGCAGGAACCACCTGAGCAGGGACCAGGTACAGCTCTTGGCCTCAAGGCAGCCCACCTATGATCCTAGGCAAATTATTTTAATTCCTCGTAAGTTTTCCCAAAGGGAAAGTGAAACTCATCATCTCTGCCTCTGCTTCTCAGGAATGTGGTGGAGAGAGATGAGATAATGTTATGAATGTGCTCCGGGCTCCTGGAGGAAAGGCATTACTCGGAGTGTCACCATTGTTGTATCAGAGTATGATTTATGCTTCTGGCCTCTTGAGTGTGAAGGGATGGCTGCTCCTGGGTTTTGCCTTCTGGGGAGATTTCCACAACATCCCAGCGTGCACCCTCTGTGAGGAGCAGCAGAACTCGGCTCCTGGCAGACCTACACCCAGCATATGACTAATGACACACCAGTGAGATCTTTGAGGTGTTGCATCTCTGTCCCTGACTCACTCACTGTCTAGGATAAAATCAAATGGCCATACCCTCCAACTACTCTGCTGAATTAAGAAATTAAAACTGAGAAGGACAAAACCAGGTTGCATACACTTGGCTGTGAGAAACGAAGCTTGGCAGTGCCAGGGAGATGCTCTCTGAAATGAGCTTTCTTGCCCAGTCACCCTGTCCCTCTGTTGTAGGAAACCTGCTGCTGCAAGGTCACGGGTTCCACCATCAAGTGTCCAGTCCATGCTGATGAGCTAACTCCAGAACAAGTCTTGGACGGTAAGAGCTGGGACAGGCCAGGCTCATTTAGCTCTCAGTATTATCGTGTCAGTTCTATTGTGATGCTTTAATGAGAGCAAAGAAGGTACTTTGTGTACTTCTGAAGTTCAACATCATGCAGTTGCTCAGCTTTTCCTTTGAAATTTCTCTCCTTCATTGCCAAAGGGATTTTAAAAGTCATGGCTCACAAACTCTCTCTCTTTAATAAAGAATCCAGTCTGTGTTCACTCTGTACCCAGCCCCTATCAAGCCTCTCCATTCCTAGAGAGAAAGTCTCCTAAAAGTGCCCTCTGGTGGAGGCGCAGGGCCACACAATCTTCAGTGAACTTCACAAAGGAGCTTAGTGCAAGAGATTGCATTGCTTGAATGGCAAGTCTGTGATACCTCACATGCTGTGCTACACTCAACTCTCCCTTCAGCTTCCCATAGAGTCTCCTTCAGATTGAGGTGCATTCAATTGCCTAATAGTTGCCTCCACTTCCATGGAGTTTCCACAGAGGGGCTGAGAAAAGTACAGTATCTGAGCTCAGGGATCTTTCATTCTTGACTGATGTCCCCCTGCGTCTGTCACGGGGTGCCCTGTTGTGCTCTAGAAAGGCTGATGCACATGTCTAAGACGTATTTCCTCCCATGTCTTTGCAAATGCAGTACCAAAACCTGGGCCCACTGCCCTTGACTCTGACTCACAGTGACCCCACCCTCTGGTTTCTGAGGTGGCCATCTTTCTTCCACAGGCCATTGGTGGAGTCTCAACTTTTGGTTATCAGCACAACATGCTGTATGCTAAGCCACCAGAACTCTATGTCTGAGTAGAAGTGATGCTAAACTTAAATGGTGATCCAGGCTAATGAAGGGGTATCATAGCTGCTTATCAATGAAAACACAAAAACAAAACAACAAAAAAATAAACAGGTCCCTACTTAAAACAGTTTTTTAAAATCTGAGAAATGTACTAGCAGAAGTCTGAGTAAAACAAGAAAATGAAACAATATTTATGTCTGATGCTTAAAATTTGAGAAAGTCCTAGAAATTGTACTGTCAATATTTGTTCTCCCACCTGCTCTTTGCACTGACAGGACGGTAGTCAGTATGAAAACATCTTCTAGGGTCACATTCCTGTGTCATTTTCCAGACTTCTCTACTGAGGCTCTCTTCTTAATTTTTTTCCTTTTTCTTTCCCTACTTTCTAAATGTTTGTGCTAGGAAGACTATCAGTAAAATAATTGACATTTGTGGTTTGCATTTTATTTAAAAAAAAAAGAAAAAGACTGTCAATATGTTAGGGGAGCTCTGGTGGCCTAGTGGCAAGGAGCTGCAACTACAATCCCAGAGCTGCGCGGTTCGAATCCACCAGATGCTCTGCCAGGGAAGGAGGGACAATCTCCTCCTGTACCAGTCAGATCTGATTTGACGGTACATGCACACAAAAATTAAAAAAAATAAATAAATAAATAAATAAAGAATGTCAATATGTTTAATGATTGTGGTCCACCAAAATCAAGTAAGAGGCAGGGCCTGCTTGGTCAGGAGGATTTGTCTTTCCCTTACTTTATTGTTAAAATATATATAATACAAAGTTTGCCATTTTAAAGTGTGCAGTTCAGGGTCGTTAATTACATTGCATAACTATCACCACCATCTAGTTCCAGACATTTTCATCATGAGCTACTGTGTTGGTTTTTTAAAAATCTGGCTTTATTTCTAAATAAAGGTTTCATTTCTTTGTATAGAATAGGAATGCTGAACATCTCTGCTCTATACAAATAGAAGCTGTGTAAATAGTTGTGGTCTCAGATAATGGAGGGAAGAGCATTTTAATCCCCAGTCAGCTCCTTGGAAGGCTCATACACCCACGTACCACCCACACAGTCAGGACCTCCCCTCAAACGCCCAGAGCCCTGCTGACCTAACGGTCTACTTCTGGAAAGGCTGACACACTTGTCTAAGACACAATTCCTGGGAATCCAGCAGTTTCAGGTTCAATTTCCTTCCTCTGAGAACAATGAACTTGACCCCTGGAGAGTGATCAGGGCAGAGCTGCTTCCTCACGTAAAGATCCCTTCAGCCGCTGCATGAAGTCATCCCAGAGCTAAAGACAATTGAGTCCAGTTTGCCTTGACATAAAACAAGCCTTCCAATCCACCTAAACAGAGGATGTAGGTTGAAAGCCATGCAAGAGGTCATTTTTAAAACAAACAAAAACTCCACTAACTCTCCACATAACTCTCTAAGACAACAACTTGAGGAAGAGTATGAGTTCCCATACACCCTTTTCCTTCCCTTTGACCTGCCTCTCAAGAGAATATGCTAGCAAACTAGTTACTCAAATATATGTGTTTTGTTTTTCTAATTAGAAGTTAAATTATTTAGAAATGTTAATGAAAACTTTTCATTTTAAAGTAACCCGTGCTTATGTAGAGAAGTTCTTTCTAGAGTTAGGAGGACATCAGTAAGTACTTAACACTTGGCACATCTTCCCTCACTGCTAAGGAATTCTGGCTTAGTAGTAGGGAGTTGCACTGCTAACTCAAAGGCAAGTAGTTCGAATCCACTAGCTGCTCCAAGGGAGAAAGTTGGGCAGTCTCCTCCCGTGCAATTTACTACCTCTGAAAACCTGCTGGAGAGTCAGCTATGAGTCAGTTCTGGCTCAGTGTTACAGAAAAACAACAATAGTGACACTCCCTGCTATACTCCCCACACTCCATCCCTCTGGCCTCTCTCTACAACTCTTTTACACTCTTCTGAATTTCATGGGACCTGAATATTTTGTTTTGTCTGAAGAAGTTAACTTTGATCTAAAAGAAAATGGCTCAGCTCTCTAAAAAGTTGGATCAACTATGGATATAGGATTTAGGGAAAGGAGTTCTTACACCGACTTGGCCACCATTCAAGGTGTGTATCTTGGGCAAACTTCCTTATTGCTTGGGTCAGACCATGAAAATTAAGATAAACTTAGATATGGCCTTCAAGCTTATGGTAAATGAGAATGAACAACAAAAATGTTGCATAAGATCATTATTCTAAAAATAGGAGAATAACTAGTAAGATGTGTGTAAAAGTCCAAAAGAGGAAGTGGAGGGGGTAGAGAAGGCAGAGTGTGGGAAGGGAGGGGAATCTGGAATGACAGAGTTTGATGGGTGAAGGGAGGGGGTGGGGTAGTTAGGAAAGGTCTAATGGAGACCTAAAAGGATGAGGTAATAGTAGGCATAGAGACATGGTGATTGATTTTATAAAATAGAATGTATGAGAATGATGATATGAAACACAATATAAATTAAGAAATGTGTGAAATACAATGTACATGAATGAAACACAGTATATGCAAATTTCATATGCAAACCAATATAACATTTTTTAAAAGGTAGGGGGAAGGAACGTTGAGCGCTTTCTTACCTAGATGATATTCATAATAACAACAGTAGCTGGTCTGATGCAAATGGTTAAGTCCTGCACTTCTAACCAAATGTTGACATTTGGAACCTGCCCATAAAGAAATATATCTTAGGTGATATGCCGTTCCTAGCCTTGTTGCTGTTTCCCTCGTGTTGCAAAATATGAAAGAAGAACGGCTAGTGGAAAGGGTCTTAGGCAATGAGTCGGCGATGGAAACATGGGGAAGGCTCTGGTCCGAAGGACTCGCCGCGCAAACCTGAAGAGTGCGGCTCATTGGTGCCGGGGAGGAGGCGACTGAGGTCTAGCCACGGCTCCGGGCCCCGCGGGGCTGGAGAAGTGTTGCCCCAGCCCGTGTGGCAGCAAGGGCAGCTCCCCGCAGCTGCTGACTGCAGTAAAAGAAATATATCTTAAAGAGGGCGCTGCTGCAGTGTTCTTTGGAGGCAAGGATGATGAGGCTTTGCCTCACGTTCTTTGGGCATGGTACTAGGAGAGGCTATTCCTTGGAAAAGAACATGATGCTGGGAAGGGTCGACAAATGAGAGAAAGACCCTCAACCAAATGTATTGACATGGTGACTGCTGCAATGGGCTCTAGTGTGTCAGGAAGTGTGAGGATGGCACAGGGTGGGATGGGATTAAGATCCGCTGTTCATAGGGTCACTATGAGTTGTACACAACTCGACAGCACCTAACAACAACAACGGCTCCTCAGGATATGGACCTCTTGATCTACTTCCAAAAGGTCATAGCCTTGAAGACCTCAAGGAGCAGCTGTCTTCTCCGCACCTGGGTGCTGTGAATTCGAATTGATGCAGCTGCAACTAACAACTACACCAACACTCATTTATGTGTGAGGCACCACTCTAGATGCTTTATGTGTATAAATTCATGCAAACTTCATAAATAACTATCAAATAACTATGATTTTAGTTGTTCTGGTTGTCTTTTCCAAATACAGAGTTTTGTTGTTGTGTATTGTAGAGTCAGAACCGATCCATGGCTGAACGTTCTGCAGGTTTTCAGAGGTAGTTAATCTCACATGAGGAAATTGCCCATTCCTCTCCCATGGAGCAGCTGCAACATGCCTCTGAAAACTGTATGAATTTTCATAAATGACGGTAGTTATAGAAAGGCTTCAGAACTTTTGTTCATAGGGTCCCTATGATTTGTGCTCAACTTGATGGCAATCAATAACAATAACGATGATTATTTTCATACTTCAGGAGGCTAGGGTATAACCTGCTCATTGTGAAAGAGTTTGCAAAGAGCAGAACAAATGACTGCAAGAGGAGGAAGCTGGCACGGGGATGTTGTGCCCCGGGGCTGCACATACAGTTGGTGGGAGCACTTTTGCTTCCATGTCCATCTGCCTCTCAGGGCCCATTGCAGGGACTGGCAGGCCTCCAAAAGTGTCACTAATAGGTGTCCCAGTGCCCCCTCCCCAAATGGGATGTGGAAAAAAACAAGCAACCCACCTAATCACCCATCTAGAGAACAGTCAGGCTCTGGAAAGGAGAGTTGGCATCGTCTGTCTTTCTTTTCCTAGGGGATGTGAATGAGTTGATCAAAACAGTTCACCACCATGTTCCGGAGGCAAAGCTGGTGGAATGCATTGGTCAGGAGCTTATCTTCCTTCTTCCCAATAAGAATTTCAAGCAGAGAGCATATGCCAGCCTTTTTAGGGAACTGGAGGAGACATTGGTTGAGCTGGGCCTCAGCAGTTTCGGAATTTCAGACACTCCCCTGGAAGAGGTAAGGCCCAAACTCCACTTGGTTTTGCTCAGGTGCCATAAGAGATGATTCTTTGTAAGAATAAGAGATAAAGCTTCGTAAGAGATGAAGCTTTGTAAGAGCCCTAATTTCCCTCCCCAAGTATAGCAGCTGTCTTCCTTTTTGGCCTTCTTTCTGTCTTTGTTCATACATATACGTAGTTTATATAATTGTGCCCACCTTATACATACCATTTTTTTTTTTATTTCTTCAAGACTATTTTTTTAGATAAAAGAAGCCCTGTTAGAGCACAGATTTGGTGCTTTGCTAACTGAAAAGGTGGTGGGTGGAGCCTATCAGCTGCTGTGAAGGAGAAAGATGTGGTGGTCTGCTTCTGTAAAGAGTGACAGCCCTTTCTGCTTTTCAAGGAGAGGAGCAAAGGGGGGGAGGGGGAGAGGTGGGGTGGGTGGAGAGAAGGGTGCAACAATGAATGAATGGAATTCCAAAATCTCTGTAGATGTTCATTGAAATGAAAAATAAATAAATAAATAAAAAGTGACAGCCTTGCAGACCATGTGGGACAATTCTGGTCACTTGGTCCTAGAAAGTCATCATGAGATAAAATGAACTTTTTGTTGTTTGTTTCTTTGTTTTAATATATTTTAGGTAGAGTCATGTATTTTCTTACCACAATGAAGCACAAAAAACTGATCTTGGGTTGTTCTGAGTGAAAATGTCCAAACCAAATTCCCTCTTTTCCACTTTTTTTTTTTGACAGATTTTCCTGAAAGTCACAGAGGATTCTGACTCAGGACATCTGTTTGTAGGTATGGCACTGAGTGAATAGCTTATAGCCCTACTGCACCCTTCCCTCCCAAACCCCCATGCTCTTATTTGCTGCTATTGCTGTGTGCCATTGAGTCAAAATCGATCCATAGCCAACTCTCCAGTGGATTTTCAGTTATAGGAAATTGCACAGGAGGAGACTGCCCATCTTTTTTCCTGGGACAGCTTTTTTGCCACTAGACCACCATAGCTCCCTGTTTAGCTCTTATTTAGGTCTAAAAAGTCCAAGGACACCTTAATGTAACAATAAAGCAGCAATATTTCTCCATCTGTTTTGATCTAACACCAAGTAATAGGCAGCATGCATTCCTGGATTCTTTAATGAGTTAGCTCTAAGTAAAGGCACTTTTGATGAACAAGGATTCTTTTGGATGAGTCAGGATTCTTAGGAATGGGTCACTTCCCTATCCTCAAATCTCTTATCCCATTTCCCTGGTCTTTTATATCTACTATATCCTTATTCACCTCACCTCTCCTCTTCATCAAGCTCTCCAATCCTCTGTCTGTGTTTAAAGAAGATCTAGATTAGTAACAAATGGTAGAGTCTGTAAAGACAGTATTAACAGTACATTTAACCCAGACACCAGCTCCAACCTCCTAGTCACTTTGAGACCTAGACTTTTGAAACCGCAGTGATTGTGATTCCTATAGATTCTAAGAGTCTTTCTTATACGTGTCCTTCCATGATTTCTACTACAACCACATAGCCCCACAACACATGAGTATGGAAGACTCTCCTGTGGAGGATGGGGAGCTACTACTGTGGGAGGTGTGACCTGCTGCAACTCAAATCGTTTCTGAGAGTCCAACAGGCATCTGCTCACACAGCTCAAATCCTTCCCCTGGCTTCTCTCTTCCCTCTCGGGTTCCCTCTCTCCTGCTGCTCTAGACACAGGCAATGCTGTGTGGAAATCCCTCTTTGCTGCCTTGGGTTCCTGATATCACCTGTGCCCACTGGCTATCTCCTTCCATCTGGAGTAGCGTACCACCATGTTTTCCTGAGCAAAGACTCTCTCCTCCTTAAGAGGGAGTCTGGCCTCAATAGTTTACATTTTGTAGCACAGCTGATCTCAGAAGTTGATCAACATTAGACAGAATTATCAATGGTCAAATATACCAACACAAACACTCTTCAGTCCAACCAGTTACATGATGTAGGACCCAAGAGATGTGGCTATTCTAGCATATTGAATGAAGAATGGGAGAGGAGAATATATATGGAGAATAGGACAGGCCTCTGGAGAGAGATGTTCACCAGAGGTCCATGTTTTCTTTTCAGCTTTGTAGACACAAAAATTCTCTAAGCTCACCCAAAGGTGAAGGTTGACATCTCCCAAAACCAGAATGATAATATGCTGACATTTATTAGAAGCTAAGCTGGATTTAGGTGCTGATTCAAAAGACAGCAGTTCAAAGCCACCCAGCAAGGAAAAGACTTAGCAATCTGCTCTTATAAAGATTATATAACTTTAGAAATGCTGTAGGTGACTCTACTCTGTCACATGGGGTCACTATTAGTCAGAATTGTTTTGACAGAACAACATGCCGGATTCCAAAATTAAACTTTGTTCTACACAGAATAACTCCTTCTTAGTAATGAGATCCGCTCAGGAGAATAAAGCCACACATCAGAAGGCTGTTGGGCCAGCATGAAGCCACTTTAGGATTTTCAGATATGTGACCAAGAGTATAGCCTCTACCAGTGAGGCAGACACAGTATCGGAACTGAGGTCTACACCTTGCTTCGTGGCTTTGGATAAAAAATTTAACTTCTTTTTCCTTCATTTTTCTCATCTACAAACTAAGAATAATTGTACCGCTGACATCGAGTTGGTCCTGACTCATAGCAGGAAGCTATAAATCTCTCTAAATCATTCTATCAATCTATCATAACTATTTCCCCACATAGACCAACAAGTGTTCATCTGAGCAGAAGGGACCCTGCATGGTTTAAAATCAGGCAAGATTTGTGGCAAGGTTGTAACTGTATGCTGTGCAAATAATTCAAGAAACCAGACTATTATAAAGTACTCATTGTCAGGACTGGAGGAAGACTTATTAATAACTTACTGATGAAAAAACAAATACTGTAGCCTTCAGCATAAAGAAATATGAGCACAGGAGAGAGTGAAATTGCTAACTATAAGGAAGTGTTAATAATGGTGAAGGGAAGATAGTACACAGTATAGCAAACGTCAGAACAACGTAACTAAGACAAAGGAAAATTCTGAGAAACGCAAAAACAAATGCCAACTTGAAATGCTACAACAAAAGTATTAACAACTATTAATTTGTGAATGAATGCATGGCAAAGTAGACATCCTGGATAAATGTGGAAGGGCATGAGGGAATACTCACTTTTGGATGCAGGTTGATTGTAGGTTTTCTACAAACTTAATAGTAGGTATTGCTTGTATGTTAATACAGACTCTAGAAGGGGCTCAATCATGCAGACATTTCAGATATTTATCACCAAACCACTGAGGACCAAAGCGCCTGGCTTCAAGACAAAGGACCATCGACTTGAGGATGGTCTGTATTGAATTGAAACAACACAGTTCATAAAGGCCATGTTCGGCATTCTATTTTAGTGAACAGCAACTAGTGTTCAGAAAATTTGCAAGTGGCCTCTAAAATAGAACTGTTGCTCTCATCCCATCTAAAGCAAAGGGGAGTGGAAAAAATGCAAAACCTCAAGGGAACAATTGGTCCAAAGGAAGAATGGCCCTCGTAATGAACCACAGCCACACAACTCCAAGACCAGAAGGACTAAGTAGTGCCTGCTGACTACTTCCAGCCACTCTGGGATCCCAGTCAGAAAGAATGTAGAACAGAAAATAAAATTTGCTAAAAATACCAGACTTACTTGTCAGAGGAGTCCTGCAAACTATAGTATTAGACACCCTTCTGACCTGGAACTGAAGCCATCCCCAGAGATCGCCTGTCCGCCAAACAGTAATCAGATCATAAACAGCAGCACTTGAGAGTTCTGAGGAATGTTTTGCTTAGAACAACCAATTATACAAGATTGAAAAGGCAATATATATCAAAAAGCAAAGATATGAAGGAGTAGAAAATCCAGAAGAAAGGAAGTAGGGAGCCAAGAACAGAAATGTGTAGAGTACTGGTAGACTGGAAGGCAGGCCTTCTATAGTGTCTGTCTGGAGCCTTCTAAGTTTGCAGGTTGACCTCTGGAATATGATTGTTGCTCTCTCCCAGATAAAGCAAAGGGGAGTGAAGAGAAAGACTAAAAAAATAATTAGTCCAAATGACATGGGTACATGAACCACAGCCAACACAACCCCAAGACCAGAATGCCATGATACAAAGTGTCATATGGGAGACTGGTGGAGAGGTGATGAAAGCTGGAATGTGGGCTTGCCTTCCTTAAAAAAAAAAAATTATCTTGAGTGCGTTACTTACCTTGACTCTTAGCTTGTTGGGGACGGTAACCGGAACCCGCTGTCCACTCCTTTCATCCTTGCTTTCTAACCTGTAGTCAGAATGCGTGAGTGCATCTCCATCCATGTTGGCCAGGCTGGTGTCCAGATTGGCACTGCCTGCTGGGAGCTCTACTGTCTGGAGCACAGCATCCAGATGCCAAGTGACAAGACCATTGGGGGAGGAGATGACTCCTTCAACACCTTCTTCAGTGAGACTGGTGCTGGCAAGCATGTGCCCAGGGCGGTGTTTGTAGACCTGGAACCCACAGTTATTGATGAAGTTCGCACTGGCACCTACTGCCAGCTCTTCCACCCTGAGCAGCTCATCACAGGTAAGGAAGATGCTGTCAGTAATTATGCCCATGGGCACTACACCATCAGCAAAGAGATCAGTGACCTCGTCTTGGACCGAATAAGAAAACTGGCTGACCAGTGCACAGGTCTCCAGGGCTTCTTGGTTTTACACAGCTTCGGTGGGGGAACCGGTTCTGGCTTCACATCCCTGCTGATGGAGCGCCTATCTGTTGATTATGGCAAGAAGTCCAAACTGGAGTTCTCCGTTTACCCATCCCCCCAGGTTTCCACAGCTGTGGTCGAGCCCTACAACTCCATTCTCACCACCCACACCACCCTGGAGCACTAAGATTGTGCCTTCATGTGAGGCCATCTATGACATCTGCCGCAGAAACCTTGATATTGAATGCCCAACCTACACTAACCTTAACCACCTTATTAGTCAGATTGTGTCCTCAATCACTGCTTCCCTCAGATTTGATGGTGCCCTGAATGTCGATCTGACAGAATTCCAGACCAACCTGGTGCCCTATCCCTGCATCCACTTCCCTCTGGCCACATACGCCCCCTTTATCTCTGCTGAGAAAGCTTACCATGAACAACTTTCTGTAGCAGAGATTACCAATGCTTGCTTTGAGCCAGCCAACCAGATGGTGAAATGTGACCCTCGCCATGGTAAATACATGGCTTGCTGCCTGTTGTACCATAGTGATGTGGTTCCCAAAGATGTCAATGCTGCCATTGCCACCATCAAGACCAAACGCAGCATCCAGTTTGTGGATTGGTGCCCCACTGGCTTCAAGGTTGGTATTAATTACCAACCTCCCACTGTGGTGCCTGGTGGAGCCCTGGCCAAGGTGCAGCGAGCTGTGTGCATGCTGAGCAACACCACAGCCATTGCTGAGGCCTGGGCTCGCCTGGACCACAAATTTGATCTGATGTATGCCAAGCGTGCCTTTGTTCACTGGTACATGGATGAGGGGATGGAGGAAGGAGAGTTTTCTGAGGCCCGTGAGGACATGGCTGCCCTTGAGAAGGATTATGAGGAGGTGGGTGTGGATTCTGTTGAAGGAAAGGCCGAGGAAGAAGGAGAAGAGTACTAATTCCTTCCAGCCCTTTAGCATATCACACTCAGAATTGACAAAGCTTTCTGACTAGATTGTCTCTATCAATGTAATCATGTCTTATTTTTCCATGTGTTCCTCTCAGATTTTTTCCCATCATGTCTCAAAGTAAAAAAAAAAAAAGAAAAAAGAAAAGCAAAAAAAAATTGTCTTGAAATATTTTAGATAGATATAATGAATAATAAAAGACAAAAAAAATTACAGGAAAGTAATTTGCCTTACAAACTATAGCTGAATAACGTTTAAAAGAAATCAAATGACATATTGCATCGGAATGGGGCAAATCTGCAAAAGACAGCTTTAAAGAGTTAAAAAACAACGTCATCTTAAGGACTTGGGTGTATCTAACTAGAACCATCTTAGTCTCACTTCATATAAATGTGAAAGCTGAGTAATAAAGAAGACCAAGGGGAAAGGTCTGCCTTTGAATGATGATGTTGGTAGCGAATATTGAATATACCAGAAATTTCCATATGACACACAAATCTGCCTTAAAAGAAGTACAGCAGGGGGAGCTCTGGTGGCCTAGTGGCAAGAAGCTGCAACTACAATCCCAGAGGTGCATGGTTCGAATCCACCAGATACTCTGCCAGGGAAGGAGGGGCAATCTCCTCCAGTACCGGTCAGATCTGGTTTGACGGTACACGCACACAAAAATAATAAAATAAAATAAAAAAATATTACAAAGAAAAGAAGTACAGCTAGGATGCTCTTGAGAAGCAATGATGGCAAGACTTTGTTTTACATGATTGGGACATGTTGCCAGAAGGATACTGTTTTGTAAGGTGGAGTGTCACTGAAAAAGCAGAAGGTCCTCTGTGAGATAAACTGATGCAGAGACTACAACAGTGGCTCAAACATACCACAGGTTTTTAAGGATGGCACAGGACCAGACAGGGTTTCATTCTGTTGTATGGATGGTCACAATGAGTTGGAATCAATTCCAAGCATCTAGCAGTGACAACAACTGTGCACCAACCAGCATCCCCTAGGTGGTCCCTGTCGGCTCAGTGATAGATGCTTTTCAAATGAACGTCAGCTGGGGATGTTAAGCCATAGCTGCCATAACCAGCAACTTACATATTGACTATAAAGTGTGTTCATGTATGCTATATAATTAAATCTCCATACCAACTCTGCTAAATGTTCTAATTTTAGTTTTATGGAAGAGAAATTCAGATTCAGCCAGGTGAAATCACTCCCTCAAATTTTTGTATCCAGTAAGAACCAGAATCCACAAGCTCAGATACCCTGACCAAGTTCCTTAGTCTTTCTACCACTTCTCAGAAGCCTCTAATTCTCAGAAAGAACCAAGTTGACTTTGAATTTTAATTTTTTTAGTAAACAGGCAATTTATTTTGTTGTAAAAATTTAAATAAAAATCCACTTCCTAAACAACATGCCTCTGGAAACTCTATGAACTTTGAGAAATGACAATAGTTATAGTAAGGCTTCAGGTCTTTTGTTCATAGGTATGCTCTGCGTCGTGCTCAACTCAATGGCACTCAACAACAATGTGCAAAGGCTTAAGTCTTTCTTTCTGTCTTATCCCACTTTTACCTGATTCTCCCTTAATAGTTGGTTTGTTTCCTTTCATAGCTTTGAAGGTCTGATAGTGTGCATGTGTACATAAAATATCACTTTTCTTTGTGTATGATATATGCTTTTAACATAAATATGATCTTAGTATTCATTTTGGAGGATCTCTGGTGGCCTAGTCATAAGAAGCTGCACTGCAATTCCAAAGGCTTGTGGTTTGAATCCACAGGCTGCTCTGCACTAGAATGATGAGCATTCTCCTCCTGTGCAATTTACTGCCTCTGAAAACCTGCTGGAGAGTCAGCAGTGGGTTGACTCTGACTTAAAGGCACACAATAACAACAACAACAACATTATATATATATATATATATATATATATATATATCCCTGTAATTGGGGTTTTTTTTGCTTAGTTAGATATTTAATACCTCTCCTCATGTCAATACATTTATTGTTGTTGTTTGTTGCTGTTAGGTCAACAGCAACCCTTTGAACAAAAGATCTGAACCCTGTTCTATCTTGTGCCGTCCTCACATTTTCTGACACGCAAGAGCCGATTGCAACAGTCACCATGTCAATCCACCTGGTTGAGGGTCTTCTCCTTCACTGACCCTCTGTCCTTCCAAGCATCATGTCCCTCTCCAAGGAATACCCACCCCCTAGCAAAATACCCAAAGTTTGTGAGGCAAAGCCTCATCATTTTCTTTCCTCCAAAGAACACTCTGGCTACATCCTCTCCAAGATATATCCGTTTGTGTCTGGCCATCCAGAGGATGTTTCATGCTCTTCTCCAACTCCACAGGTCAAAGGCATCAATTCTTTTTGTCATCTTTATTCACTGTCCAGCTCTCAGATGCATAGTAAGTGATCGGAATGACTATGGCCTGGATCAGATGCACCTTAGTCCTAAAACTGAAATCATTACTACTCAATAATTTGGAATGATCCCTAACTGCAGATTTTCCCAGTGCAGTGCATCTCCTTATTTCCTGACTGCTGATAGTAAGGGTGTTAATTGTGTATCTGAGCAAAATGAAGCTGTTGACAGTTTGAGTCTCCTCTCCATCCATCATGATGTTGCCTAATCGGTTCAGTGTTAAGAATCTTTGTTTTCCTGACATAGAGATACAATCCATACCAAAGGCTGCATTCCTTAACCTTCTGCAGCAAGTGCTTCAAGTACTCCTCACATTGAGCAAGCAAGTTGTGTCATCTGTAAAATGCAGTTTATTGATGAGTCTCCTTCCAGTCTATATGCCACACTCCTCCTCAGAGTCCAGCTTCTTGAATAATTTGCTCAGCATACATATTAAATAGGTATAGGAAGAGAATACAACCCTGACACACTCCCTTCTTAATTTTAAACCACACAGTGTTCCCCCGCTCTGTTTGCACCACAGCCTCCTGGCTCAGGTACAGGTTCTGCATGAGCACAGTTAAGTGCTCTGGAACTTCCATTCTTCTCAATTTCAGCTGCAACTTGTTATGATCCACACAGTCAAATGCCTTTGCACAGTAGTGAAGTCAATACATTTAGGTCTGTATTTTCTCTTGAACTGAGCTGGAACCAACTCATCGCTGACCCTACAATGAGGTTTCAGCGGCTGTAAATCTCATGGGAGGAGATTGCCCTTCTTTCTCTTTTGGAACAGCTGGTGGATTCAAAACACCTGACTTGTGGCAAGAAGCTGCACTGCAATCTCAGAGGTGTGTGGTTCAAATCCACCAGGTGCTCCACTGGAGAAGGAGGGACAATCTCCTCTTGTACCAGTCAGATCTGATTTGATGGTACATACACAAAAAATAATAAAATTTTTAAAAAAAACACACAAACAAACAACACCTGACTTTAGTTTGGCAGTGCAATTCCTTGCCCACTAAACCACCAGAGCTCCTTTTATAGCTATAGAGAATTCCAATGCTGTTTTAGGCAATTTTGTCTATAGTTTATTTATAGTTGGATATGTTGTTGTACCTGAATGAGTGTTTTGTTGCTGACTTCAGTGAGAGGAGACCTAATGCTATAAAAAGAAATTATATATGAGGTTCAGTTCCAGTGGGTATTTTTGTAAATGATTAATTCAGTTTTCCAAACCAGGTAGCACTCCATGGAAAGGAGAAGGTGTCAGTCTCCAACACCCCAGTTTGGGTCCCAGAGAGACCACCAGGCCAATTACCCAGGACTCCACAGAGCCAGCCCCTTGCCCAGAAGGCCAGCCTCACCCACAGCCGGAGAACCACAGCGCCTCATTCAACACAGGGATGCAGCTGGTGCTGCAGCACATGCAGGCCCTGCTGGTGAAGCGGTTCCACCACTCCACAAGGAGCCACAAGGACTTCCTGGCTCAGGTCTCCCTGCGGGGCGGGTCTTTCCCCCACCCCCCCATCTCGCACTGTCAGCTCACTCCTTGCCCAGCCTGTGTGTCCTCTCCTGGCCTTACAGTCCTCACCTGGGCCTTCTCCTGCCTGGGGTCAGATGCCAACACTGGTTCTCCATTCTGTCAATCAACTTTGCGTCCTCCTTGTCAGACCTTCATTTTGCTTCTGAATAACACAACATTGCTCTGTATGTACTAGACTTCACCAAGCAGAGAAAACAGAATAGTAGTGAATGGTGTGTTAATATTGTTTTGAGTTTTACAGCAAAGGGTGAAGTCATATTTTCATTGTGTTTTTTTTTACAATGATCCTACATATCAAAGTCATTATCTTTTTTTTTCTTGGATATTTTTCATTCAAAGGAAAATAAAAACCCTCATCACAACTTCTAGTCCAGATAACAGTGAGTTATTGGATCTGTCCTTTGAACTCTTCTTTAATCTCTGACTACATTAAGCTTCTTTACCAATTACTGTAACTTTATATTTTCTTCCATTTCCTCCTGCCTATTTTTTCACACACTATTTCCCCTGCTTATAATGTTCCCAAGAAGCCAGACCTTTCCCCTCTGAGCCCAGTTATGAGACTGCAGAGTAAGTGATTAAAAGAATGTGTGTGGAGAGGTGTGAGTGGAAATGATGTATTTAACATCTCAGATATCACAGCTCATGTTTCCACATCTGTTTTCCTACAGATTGTTCTCCCAGCCACTTTTGTGTTATTGGCTCTGATGCTTTCCATCATTGTCCCTCCTTTTGGGGAATACCCTGCTCTGACCCTTCAACCCTGGATGTATGGGCAGCAGTACACCTTCTTCAGGTGGGCAGACTATTCCTGAGGGTAGCAGGCACCCTCCAGGCTGTGGGGCTCATGGCCACATGTTGCTCTGTAGGCCCTGCCCATCCTGCTTCCACAGGCCAGTCATCAATGTGGTGGGGATTCCTGGGCTGCCCTTAGAGGAAGGTGATCACACATGATAAACAGGACTGCTGGGGGAGGGGACTCAGGAAAGCAGAAGACACTCCAATGAGGACTTGAAGCTCCTTTGAGAGGCACAGACAGTATATGCCATTGGACGGCTGGGTGTGTTTGGAGGCCACCAGGTTCCCAGTAGAGCTGCAGCTATCTTGTGGCAGAGTTCTGTCTGAGCAACCACAGCTTCAAGCCTCATGCTGGCACATGTTGTTGTTGTTACATGCCATCAAGTTGAGTATGACTCACAGCAACCTTGTCCCTTTCTTAAACTTGCATGTTTACTGCTTTTATCCATTCTCAGTATCATGTATATGTGGAATAAGCTTTTCTTGGTCTGTCTAGCATGGATGAACCAGGCAACGAGCACCTCGAGGTCCTTGCCGACGTCCTCCTGAACAAGCCAGGCTTTGGCAACCGCTGCCTGAAGGAAGAGTGGTTCCCGTAAGTCCCTGCACACTCCTGCCCTCATCCCAGCAGCTCCCCTGGAACCTCCAGGAGCCACAGGCCCAGGACAACCATAATTTGTGTTACGTAAATCACTTCCATGTCTCTGATGAGCTCTGGCCCAGGCTTTCCTTCAGTAATCATGGTGTGGGAGTGTTCTCTACTTCTTAGAAAATCCCTGGCTTATTGGAGAGGTCTATATTCCTCCAATAGAAAATTCTATATTGACTTGATATATGCTTTCCCATAATTTAATGCAAAGATTTCTAAGTAGAGGAGTGAGAAAGATAGGGGTTTTGCTATTGTGTAACTGGATCTAGGAAGGTGTTGATCAGCTCTGTTACCATAACAAGAAGGGCATTCAAGAGAACAGGATCTAACTAGCGATCCACTTGGGATCCTAAAAATCCAATATCATTTTAACCTCTTTTCTCATCTAGTCTTTTCCAGAGCCATTGGTAATTTCAAACTGCTCTATTTGTTCTTATCTCTGCTATTTGCTCTCTGTCTCAATATCTGGAGCCTCTAGGTGGAAAAACAGGGAGACAAAAAGAGAGGGGTCACAAACAGATCATATACCACAGCCTTCATTTAATCAATCAGAAAAACCCTAGTCTTGGTTTCTCTTGAAAAGAAACTGAATTCCTAGAGTTTAAGGAAAAAAATGCAGGGGTCTGTTGAGAAGGACACTGTGTCTCATTTCTCTGGACTTTGGTGAAACTTGAAACAGACTGAAGTCTTTTCTTCCCCTAGGGAGTATCCTTGTGGCAATTCTACGCCCTGGAAGACGCCCTCTGTGTCTCCGAATATCTCCCATCTGTTCCAGAATCGGAAGTGGACTCCATACAACCCCTCACCCTCCTGCAAGTGCAGCACCAGAGAGAAGCTCACCATGCTGCCTGAATGCCCAGAGGGTGCTGGGGGACTCCCTCCCCCTCAGGTACCTCCACCCTACCATAGGAGTAACACTGTTGTTGTTATAGTTGTTCCCGCCTGAGTCAGTTCCAGCTCATGCAGAGTAGACCTGCACTGCAGAGGGATTTCAGAACTGTGACCTTTGGACTCAGACTTTCAGGCCTGTCTCCCAAGTTGCCTCTGGGTGAGTTAATACTGTTGACTGCTGAGCCAGCAGTTAAGCATGTAACTGCTTCTACCACCTAAGGATTCATAGCAAAACCAAGAGAGCTGCAAGTTGGCCTGAGACAGCAAGGATTTGTGGGAAATAAACAATGTCTGCTGAATCTCTAGGCAGCTATTAGTTTTAAACTAACAGCTAAATGAAGGGCTAATGTAGGTTCCTTAAATCCTCTCACAGTGACAGCAACAATGGGAAGAGATTGTGAAGATGATGCAGGATCAGACAGGGTTTTGATCTGTGGTACATAGTGTTGCTGTGAGTTGGAGTCAACTCAATGACACTTAACAACATAGTGAGGAATAACTGTACTTATTTTACAGCATTGTTATGAAGATTCAATAAAATAATGTGTGGTGGTGTTGTTATGTGCCATCGAGTCCTCTGCGACTCATAGCGACCCTATGCACACTAGCCCTAAACCCTACTCTGTCCCTTGCCAATCTTATTGTCTTCGACATGCTTATCCCATTACCCCAGTTACAGAATCAATCCATCTTATTGAGGGTCTTCCTGTCCTGCGCTGGCCTTTCACCCTCCCAAGCATGACGTCCCTCTCCAAGAACTGATCCTGCCTTGCAACATGTCCAGAGTATGGCAGGCAGAGCTTCAGAATCCTTGCCTCCAAGGAACAGCCTGATTTCACCCTCTCCAGGACGAACCTGTTTGTTCTCCTAGCAGTCCATTCAATACTCTTCTCCAGCACCACAGCTCAAAGGCATCAACTCTCCTTCTATCATCCCTAGTCATTGTCCAGCTCTCTGATGCATAGCTAGTAATTTCAAAGATGATGACCTGTATAGGTGCACCTTCGTCTCCAGACTGACATCATTGCTCCTCAGTATCTTGGAGAGGTCTTTGACACCAGACTTTCCCAATACAATTCGTCTTTTAATTTCCTGGCTGCTGGTACTAAGAGTGTTGATTGTAGAGCCAAGCAAATGGAAGCTGTCAACACTCTCAATCTCCTCATCATTCATCATGATGCTGCCAATCGGCCCAGTGGTGAGAATCTTTGTTTTCTTGATATTGAGCTTCAGTCCATATTAAAGGCCGCAGTCGTTGATCCTCCACAGCAAGCACTTCAGGTCCTCCTCAGTTTCAGCAAGCTGGGTTGTGTCATCTGCAGGTTGACAGATAACGCAGATTGTTGATAAGACTACCTCCAGTCCTGATGCCAGAGTTCTCCTCATAGAGTCCAGCCTCCCGAATAACCTGCTCCACATATAGATTGAAAAGATATGGAGATAGGACACATCCTTGATGCACACTCTTCCCAACTTTTACCCATGCAGTATTTCCTTGCTCTGTTCTGATGACTACCTCCTTGTCCAAGTATAGGTTTCATATAAGCACAATCAAGTGTTCTGGTATCCTTCTCTGAGTTAGCCACAGTTTGTTGTGATCCACACAGTCAAATGCCTTTGCATAGTCAATGAAACACAGATATTCCTCTGGTACTCCCTGCTTTCAGCCAAGATACATCTATCCCTAGTGCCACAGCCTCTTCTAAATCCAGCATGCACCTCTGACAGGTCTCTGTTGATGTGCTGTTCAGTTGTTTTTGGATAATCTTCAGCAGATCTTGCTTGCATGTGATACCAATGATACTGTTCTGTAATTTCTACACTCTGTTGGATCACCTTTCTTTGGAATGGGAACATATATAGGCCTCTTCCAATCAGTAGGCCAGGTGGTTGTCCTCCAGATTTCTTGGTATAACTTGGTGAGCACATACAGGGCAGCATCTGTTTGTTGAAATATGTCATTTGGTATGCCTTCCATTCCTGGGCCTATAAAGATATTTTATCAGTCAAAATTAGATGACATTCAAATGATGAGTACCCCGAACTAAAACAAGACACAAGATGATTTCTCTCTCATGTAGGTTTATGTGAGTGGTCTTTGATGTTTGATTTTATTGCTTCCTGATGCTAAGAATGCAAGGCCTTGATTTAATTATTCAAGATAGCATCTACTTTGCAGGCAGCAAAATGGAAAAAAAGATGACAGAAAAGAAAAGGCAAAGTGCTGGAAATCTTTTAAAGAAGATTTTCAGAACCCACGTATAGCAGCAATGATATTGCTGGTGTGATGGCCTCTTATAAACCCAGCTTGAACTTCTGGCAGTTCTCTTTCAATCTATTTTCTTGCTGATTTTGGATGATCTTCAGCAATATTTTGCTTGCTTTTGATACTAATGATATTGTTCAATAATTTGCACATTTTACTGGATCACCTTTCTTAGAATGGGGACAAATACAGCTCTCTTCCAGTCAATTGGCCAGGTAAGCTATCTTCCAAATTTTCTGGCCACAACTGGTGAGCCTATTCAGGGTTGCATCAGTTACGTGAAACATTTGTGTCCCATTGACTCCTAGGGTCTTATTTTTTGGTCAAAGTCTTCAATGCAGCTTAAACTTTTTCTCTCATTACCATTGACTCTTTAAATGCTACTTCTTGAAATATTTCAGTGTTGATCAATTCTTTGTAGTACAATGACTGTTTATTCCTGGGATCTTTTAAAGCTTCCGTATCTTTCAAGACTTTGTCCTTAGTATCTCTCAGTATTACAAGTCAAGGCTTGAATTCTTTTTTTAGTTCTTTCACTTTGAGGAATATATACAAGTTGTTCCCTTTTAATTCTCCAACTCCAGCTCTTTGTACATTCCATTGTAATACTTTGCTTTGTCTTCTTGAACTGCCTGTTGAAATCTTCTGTTCATCTCTTTTACTTTGGCATATCCTTCCCTTTGTTTTGCCTTCTCTATGCTCTTGTGTGATTTTCATAGTCTCTTCTGGCATTTGTTTTGATCTTTTCTTCCCCCTATGTCTTTGTAACAACCTTTTTCTTTCTTCATGGATGATATCTTTAATGTCATTCCTTAATTCATCTGGTCTTTGATCAATACAGAAAGACTCTGTGCTTTACTGATTGTGCAAAGTCATCTGTGTGGATCACAGTAAGCTATGGCTATCATTGAGAAGAATGGGAATCCTATAACACTTACTCATATTCATACAAAACCTATACCTAGACCAAGAAGCTGATGTCTATACAGAGCAAGGGAACAGTGCATAGTTTAAAATCAAGAAAGATTATGTAAAACACAATCAAAGGCTATACTCTTCAATATATATTGAAGGCTCAACATCAAGAAAACAAAGATTCTTACCAGCTGAAAATACTGTGGATTGGGTCAAGTGTAGCTTAGTCTTTAAACTGGCATAATTGTTTCGACAGCAGACATGCTCAATGCATCATGCCTTTTGGTTTCTTGACTTATGCTACCATTGGTGTTGATTATTAATACAAATAAAATGAAATTGTTAACTTCAGTCTTTTTTTCCATCTATCATTATGCTGCCTTTTGGTCTAAGGATGAAAAAAAAAATTTTTTTATGTTGCGGTATAATCTATATTGAAGGCTATAGTCTTTGATCCTCTTCAATAAATGCTTCAAGTCTTCATTTTTTGCAAGCAAGATTGTCATCTACAGAAATGCAAGAAATAATGAATCTTCCCTCAATCCTGATGCCATATTCTTCTGCAAGTAGTTTAGCTTCTTGAATTACTTGCTCAACATTCATGTTGAACCAACTCAACTAATTGCCATTGAGTCAGAATGGACTCACAGCTGACCCTCCAGTGGATTCTCAGACGTTCTGAGTTTCATAGGAGGATATTGCCCATCTTTCTCCCTTTGAGCAGCTGGTGGGTTAGAACAAACTGCCTTTGAGTTGGTAGCACAACTCCTTACCCACTTGCCATCAGAGCTTCCTACATATTGAATAGGTGTGGAGAAAGTATGCAATCCTGAAGCATATCTTTGCTGATTTTAAGTCATACAATATCTCCTTGTTCTAACAATTGCTTCTTGGTTTATATAAAGCTATCATAGTTGTTATCGAGGGTTCTGTATTTGTGAGCTTCTAATTTTTCTATTTTATATCCTAGAAACATAGACGTTTGTATTTCTCAAGCAACATGGTTTTTTATTGTTCTACTTCTGCACCCCAAAGGAAGCCTTGCTTCTGTTTGGCTTATAGTCAAGTTCTGAGGTCCCTGTGACTGCATCTATTTAAACACATCAAGCATCAGGACGCCCAAGGCATGTGACACTGTAACTTAGCAAGGGGGGAGGTAGTTGACAAGTCTAGGTGCGCAGTGATTCATTTCCTAAATGATATATTCATGAAACTCTAAGACTGCCTGTCTAGCTTAGAATTTTATTTTCAGTAGTAATAGTTCTCATTTCCTGTGGAAAAAAAATTAAGAGCTACTACAGCCAAATCCTAGAAAATGTTGGGGATGTTCCTGGTATTTTTGTTCACTCTTGTATTTCCTCATTGTCCATACTTGTCTCCAGAGTAGAATAGAGCATTGGGCAACATTAACAATGTTCCACCTCACACACATTTATGTTAACATTATTTATCCCACTCACTCAAACACACCCAGCATAGAATAAGTCCAGAGAGTATGACCGTGATTCTGAGGCAATACTTTGTCCTCATTTGGAAAATGAAGGTGTAGATGCTTTGGTCTCTTAGGTTTCTTCCTACTCTGATATTCTTTGTGTGGTTGTTATTGTTGTTATGTTCCATCAAGTTGGAACTGATCATAGCTGAAACGCCAGCTAGTCTTCAGAGACTTTAAATCACACGGGAGGAGATTGCCCATATTTTCTTTCTCAAACACATGTCTTAGGGTTTGCAGTGCAACTTCTTACCAGTAGGCCACCAGATCTCCCTTTTGAACAGTTGTTGTTAGGGGCCATCCAGTCGAGTACGGCTTATAAGTG